CCTTTCAGCACATTAAAACAATGTAATCAGTTTATTTTGTCCGGTCATTTATGCAGATGTTTGTTTCTGATAAGATATATATTTACTTGTTTATTTTGCAGAAAGCAGCTTCAAACATTTCCCACTTTCCCTCTTTCCTTGCAAATCGAATGAAATTTCGAGACGGATGTCAAGTGTTTATAATATAAAATAGAACTCCGGACGGTAGATGTTCGGTGTAGTCATCCGAATTGTAAAAATATGAACAAATGAAGCATAGATTCTGAAAATGCAATGCACATGATAGTATTCTAGAGGGAAGGTTGTGTTTCCACATTAACAACAAATATCCATTGTGTATAAAGGTGCTTAGTGAGTTCCATGTTATTGATGTTGCTGTTGCATGTAATGCATTAACCGTTCCAGAAACACCTCAGAGCAAGGGCTGCTGGGAATATGCTCTGTGTGATTAATGGCAGTGTCTGGGGAGATAAGACACTGAGCTTCCATATTAATATAGTATTGACATGGAAATGCTCTCTGTTTAGGTGGTCTTCAGATGTCGATGGGACGTGATCCATTAGTTGAGTCGTAAAGGGTGTGTGTATTGCGAATGCAATCCTATATCATACAGTCTTGATCCTAGCTAGAATTCGGGATTCACTGGTTATCAGCACATGTCCAGGGGGACCGCCTTCGTGGTGTAGTGGTTAGAGCGTCCGCCCGAAGAGCGGAAGAAGCAGGTCGCGTCATACCAAAAGACGCTAAAATATGGAACTTGTTGTTCACTGCCTGGCGCTTGGCATTAACGGGTACAACAAGGACTGGTCGGCTCGGAGTCAGTATAATGTGTCTGAGTGGGGTTCGTGCTTAACTGTGGCATGGTATCTCAGTGGGCTAGCACTATAAAACCAGCTTCAGTCTGGGCTAGTACAAGCAGCCACACATACACACGCATGCACGTCGTCATATGAGCGAAATATTCTTAAGTGCGACATTAAACCCCATTTCACCTCACCTCACCTGTCCATGGGTATTACAACGTTAAGAATCGACACAACCTTTGGCTTTATACTAGGAGAGGATTTGGCACACTTGTCTGTTTGAAGCTAGTTCGTCCTTATCTGACTTACCTTTTCATTTTCACGGTCATTCTTCAATCAGCAGTTTTGAAAAGATAAAAGTCCCAAGACAATGTTTCGATAGAACACATGCCTATCATGACCTAAAATGTCACCACATCTACGATATATTGGGGCGGTGGGTAGTCTAGTGGTTAAAGCGTTGGCTCGTCACGCCGAAGACCCGGCTTCGAATCCCCACATGGGTACAATGAGTGAAGCCCATTTCTGGTGTCCCCACCGTGATATTGCTGGAATATTGCTAAAAGCGGTGTAAAACCAAACTCAGTCAGTCAGTCAGTCTACGGTATATAAAATATGCAATTTCTCTCTGTGTCTGCTGAGTCAACAGAAGGTTACCAGTCACATTACTATATCCTCCTTATGGATACAGGCACAGGCGACGTTTCGACACAGATTCTAATTGTCTGGTGACCATTTGCTTGACAACGACGTAAGAATCTATGTCGAAGCGTCGCCTATACAGAATAAAGAAGTTGTGTATCCATAAAATTGCCCTCATTCTTCACCACCTCCACTTCTAGAATGTCAATCAAAGACGTTATCTCCGTGGTCCAGTAGATAAAGCAGTTGCTCGGCGAGCTGAAGGACGGTGGTTCTATCCCCGATGGTTCTATACTTGTTATTGCCCTGACTGCCTTGGTCCAGTAGATAAAGCAGTTGCTCGGCGAGCTGAAGGACGGTGGTTCTATCCCCGATGGTTCTATACTTGTTATTGCCCTGACTGCCTTTTGACATGCCGATCGCTATATAACTGCAACGACCTTAACGGCAACGTTTAACCCATGTTACTCGATTTGATTGATTGACATTTTTAGAAGTTGGTGATTAACAAGAAAGGTAAAATAGTTTATGGATGTGATCCATTCCAACTCGCCCCACTGTGCTATACTTGTGACCTGTCCATTGTTCTCACAGAGAACGTGCCACATTCTAGTTTTATAGTGAGTGAGGTAATGAGTATGGATTTACGCCGCTTTTTGTACTATTCAAGCAATATCACAGCTGGGACAACAGCAATGGGCTTCACACATTGTACCCATGTGGAGAATCGAACCCGAGACTTCAGCGCGACTAGCGGACGCTTCAACCATTAGGCTACCCCACCGCCGTTTAAATTGTATAAATGCCGTGTTCCATTTGGTCGTTATTGCTTTGTAATCAACAAAACGCTAATACTCCAATGCGTAAGCGGGAGTAACTCTGTGCTTTGTTAGTGATGACAAAGATTGAGATGGCAATGAAAATACGTCCATGGTGTGTATCGTAATACAATTACATATTGCACTCGATGATCGAGTATGTCAATTATTGTGTCGTGGCCTGAACAAAAGGTTACTCTTTTTAAACACAAGAAAACGAAACAACACAAAACCGAAAAAATCCCGAAAAACAGACACCACAAGTGCGTCAATTATAGAACAACTATTCATTATTCTAAATATAAAGAAGGTAACTCAATTATAACTCTTTGAAATCTCCGGCTGTATGCCTGGCATCGCCATGCTTACTTCTCAAAAGAAGAGGCGTAGCGTTGAACAAACCCGCTCAATACACGTGAAAGATATACCTACGCACAAGGCGGACACGTGCTGTATTACAAGTTTTATTATATTTTGTTTTAAAAGATCAGTGATAATGCACTGAGTGAGTGAATGAGTTTAGTTTCACGAGGCGTTTAGCAATATTCCTGAAATATCACGGCGGGGGACACCAGAAAGGGGCTTCACATTGTACCCATGTAGGGAACGGACCGGGTCCTTGGCGTGACGAGCGAACGCTTTAACACCACTAGGCCACCCCACCGCCTGTAATGCACTTGAAAGGTCCGATGTACAAGAGGTCATAGAAACAGCAAATGTTTAAAGGGCATTGTGCTAAGATACTACTAATAAGAAGAAGCGGATCCTGGCAGATAAGAGACACAACTCTTCAAATGCATTTTCGTCAGTATTTTCGCTATGATTTTGGAAGTTCAATGCCAACACGCGACAGAGTTTCGCTAAACACAATATTGACTACTTTGTACATAATTAAATGTCAGAGCGTGTAAAAACATATTTCACATGTCAGTCGTATATATGTTGAAATAAGCGTCGACAAAATAGATTTAAGTACTTGATATTAAGTATCGAATTGACAAACCGATTACGGGAGTAATTGTTCCGCTATCGAAAGCAAAACATCCAGTTTCGTTTACCATGGATATATTCGAACAGATACTGTCTGCTTCTAAACGCCCTTTGCGTTAATGACGTCTTAGTATCGTTATCGTCCAAACCTTCCATAGGTGAAATATTTTTTGGGGAAAGCGAACAGCTATCCTTAAATACCGCAGTAATGCAATCAGAATGCTCTGCGGAAAATGTGACGTCATGTGTTATCATGACGTCACAATAAAATGACATCATTAATCATGGTCATTGATCTGAATAGATATCAAAGGAGTGAAGCCATACTGTTTACACTCAAGACAGTGGTTATTGCTGATAAGAAGCAGAAACACAGGGATGATTTCAGATGATAAATACTATCTTGCCATCTCCTATTCCAAGCACACATATATCACAAATTGGCATTTGTTTCTTGTCAAAACTCGTTGATTTATTGATCTTGGAAGACACTGGGTCGAGTTTCTCTTTGCAGAAGTGGTACAGATATTGATTTAGTTGGTAGACCGCTAAATAATTGAAAACAAAAACAAATGTTATCAATTGGTTCTTGGTTTGTTCTACATAAGAAAGATGGTTCAGAAAGATGGAAACTCGTTTTAACTAGTTTATGCAATACATAAAAATAGGCTTTAATGGAATATTGTTTTTGTGTGTTCAATCAGACTCGATAATGACATTGTTAATCAGTTTTGTTAAATTCGGTTGATTTGGTTCAAGTATGGTTATTAAATCCATTTTCGCTTCTCACACACATGACGAAAGACAACGCGAATCGATTACGTATATGCAGCAGTTCCTGCAAATGTCAAATGTAAGAGACAGTTTTTCCGTCTCTGCATCACGACATACATTTTTCACTCTAAATAAGGAATCGGATAATTTGTGTTTCTTCTGTTTCAACACGTCATGTAGTCCTTCGAACAATTTGTTGCAAAAAACAGAGAATCGTGAGTCACAATTATTTTATTAATCAATTCATTTTAAAAAGATCGATGCTTGCAGTGAACGTCGTTCTTTCTAAATTTGGGGTTTCGAAAGAACATGTGCATTATACACAGATAAAAGTAATGAATATGTCCCCGATCCAGTTCGTACAACAACGTTTTAGTAAAAATACCTCATGTGCACTCCCAGTTATATCCCACTGTGCAATATTGACTTACAATTGAAACTGTACGGTGACATCTATCCTATCGTTATCAAAGCAAAATCCCTTCAAAGGGCAATTATAGAACTGCACGTATATCACTACTAAAGTCAGGCATTTACAATATATAGTGTTCTTACTGTCTTATTACTTTTACTACAGTATCTGGAAATGTGCGGTATAGTATAACATTCCGCATGACATCACCTGTATAGCAGACATCATCATCACCGATCAGATGTCTCTTCATCTCTTTAACGGAGTAGATTAAGCAGTAACCAGTCTCATATCAATGAATGTATTCCGGAAAAATTTAGATAAATGCCACGTTTCGCGACTCCAATGGCTCAAATTTTTATTGCGTCAGACAAATTTCATTTAATCATTTCCTTTCATTCAGATCATTGTAGAAATCATACCACTGGGAATTGACATTGTGTACGCATGTGTATAACGTTTTAACTTCAGAATATATTGAAGACATGTTTTCATCGAGGTTACCTTCACGAGACATAAATAATTTAAGTGTTTATTTCTGAATGTATCGGAAAGACTTACCTTCAGTTGATTATTGGTTCTCTTGTGATAAAATGTTCCGCACACACTGGCACACCTCTACTGATATAGATTTCTGAGCTGGCGACAGTTTCAAAAGCTACGTCCCGTGCAGTGACAAGAATGAAAGCTCCCAGCCCCACGTCTAGAGCTGATTGTGTTGTCTGTTCACTCTATGTTACCTAGGAGGATCCAATAGCCAATCACAGTGGTTGTTACAAGCCTGCGTCAACAAAGGTCGATCGAAGCAATTAGTTCCGGCGCTATTTGATAGCAGCCTTTCTTGCTGTGGCGGGCTGCCTTTAGCACGAACCCTTTCAGCATTTGAGCTAACAACGGTTGAATTCTGCTGAAGCCTGTCGACAGCTGCAAACTGTACACAGACAGTTAAATGTTGCATATTTTGGTTTGGTGTTAGAAAACTTAGTGTTGTATGAATGCAACCTATAGTTAGGCATCTTAGCATGGGCTCATATCGATTGCTTTGAACCTGGGAAGGGTGATAGCTGAAATCATAGAATAAAAATTTTAAGGAGGGATTTTATGTATCGATGTCATATTTGCTCTCATACTACGTTCAATACAGGCATGTGCGCATGTGAGTTTGCATTGGGCCCAAACATCAAGGCTCCGGGCATATTAGAGTGAGTGAGTGAGTTAAAATTTAAAGTCACATCGGCAATATTTCAGCCATATCGTGACTAAAACTAGTTCTAAATATATAATACATACAGATAATGTATAAAACCCTGTCAACGAAGGACAGTAAAACCACTAGAGTATCATCAAATGAGTTAAAACAAGCTAGCATATATCTTTAAAAGTACAAAACTATTTTTGGACAATACAATGTTAAAATGGGCTATAGATCGCCAACAACTGAAGGTAGATCACCATACTAGGAACCATGGGGACTTACATTACTTTTGCTACCTGCATGGATCCTAGCTGGATTTACACCATCCCTTCAGCCGCTGGCGATTGTAGGAAACTTTAGCCAACAGTTAAAATAACAAAAATACTACGTTTAAAATGTGATAATTTATATTTTACTTTGAAAGTTGAGGGGCTTACGTACCCGGGCATATTAGATAAAACACCTTGTTCATAATGTCATACCGGGAATAGCCGGGTTTGAATCGTTCATGAACAACCAATGTGACGGATTACATGAAGTTGGCTAGATTGACCCGGGTTCGAATCGTGGCATCGTATCCCCGCCGTGAGTAGAAAAGCGGCGTAGATGCTCAGTGATATCAGTCCCATATGGATATCAGTCCCTGGATGATTATATAGACTCAGTGACCAACAGATCTACGTCATACAGCTGTAATATTGCAAAAACAATAACCAAAACAATAACCAAAAAGCCAAAAAAAACCCAAAACAAACAAACAACCCAATATGTCATATGATGTGAGACAGACAACAGACATTAACTTAGACTCGACATGAAAACGGGACACGTACACAATGAGTGAGCGAGTGAGTGAGTTTACTTTTACGCCGCTTTTTAGCTTCCAGCTATACCATAAATGGGCTTCACACATTGTACCCACGTGGCTAATCGAACCCGGGTCTTCGGTGTGACGAACAGACACTTTTAACACTAGGCTACCCCATCGCCCCTGTACACAATGAACAACAATGACATAATTACGAAAATGAACCTGAAAAATATGCTATTTACGATATGTATTTACTTATACATTCCGGCAACGGAAATAAACCATACACGAAAATACTGGTTTGGCTAACAGATTTAGTGACCCGTTATGTATTCCAGGAATGAATGAGAGGTCATTGATGCATAGAGAACATAGTGACCATGCCCCGTTTCAAGTCATTATGGGACGACCCTTTCCAGATCCTTGAGTGAGTGAGTGAGTGAGTGAGTGAGTTTAGTATTCCTGAAATATTGCAGATGTGGCTTTAGGTATTAACTCGTTCATTACTTCCAGCCATTTTCACTGAAACTAATTCCAGCGAGTGAGTTTAGTTTTACGCCGCACTCAGCAATATTCCAGCTATATGGCGGGTGTCTGTAAATAATCGAGTCAGGACCAGACAATCCTGTCATCAGCAGCATGAGCATCGATCTGCGCAATTGGGAACCGATGACATGTGTCAACCAAGTCAGCGAACCTGATAACCCGATCCCGTTAGTCGCCTCTTACGACAAGCACGGGTTACTGAAGATCAATATTCTAACCCGGACCTTCACGGGTCTCCATATCCTTGAACATATAGCACACTACTGATACAACGTACTCAAAGGGATAAACAATTTAGTTCATAATAACCGAAGTTCGTTATAAACGTAGTTTACTGTATTAGTAAATGTTCGTTAGATCTACCCCTTCACTAAATATGTTTGATTTTTAATTACCTTCTCATGGAGACTGACCCTCTTTCACCTCTCCCTAAACAAATCCACCATGATAAGCTTCCAACATTGGAGACTTGGTTGACGTCATCGTATCCCAATAGCGTAGATCGCTCATGCTGTTGATCACTGGATTGTCTGGTGCAGATTCGATTATTTACAGGCGGCCGCCATATAACTGGAATATAGCTGAGGGCGGCGTTAAACAACGACATAACCAAACCAATCCAACTTCGGATCGGAAGGTCCGTGGTTCAAATCCTTAAAGATGACTCAGAGATGTTCAGAAACCAAGAAAAACGGAAACTGCGTAAAAAACAGCGACCCCAATGCAAATGGTACACATGTTATTTAACTACAATACAATGATAATATAACAATACATAAAACGACCACTCAAACCCTGTACACTGGTATATTTCTTTAGAGCTATGTGCGTCCCTTTAAGAAAATACATTTGTCGTAAGGCTATATTCACGGAAGACTTAATGACAATGAGAAGACCTTTTAATTTTTTTTGTGTTGGATTAAAAAATCAATTGTCGGTTATGACAGGGCGTCAGATTACAACGCTGCATGAAGCCGCACTCCGGACAACAGGTTGTAGATTTATAGGTGATGCACACATTAGGGGAGATAACATGATATATTTTCAGATTTCCTTCGTTTATTGATAGTTAGTCGATGTCCGGAAATTTCAATTATGAACAAGGGCATAAAACTACCCGGGAGACGAATTAGGAGATATGCTTGACGTGTTCCGAAATTGAGATCGCCTAACTAGTCTGTCCAGGTTAGATATCTCTAATTTATTTACAAGTAAAGATCCGGGTTAGAATTGGCTAGTTGTAAGAGGCCCGATGTGACACAGGTAAAACATGTGACTCCAGAGTGAATCAGTTATGTTCGTGACTGGTTTGAAATAATGGTAATGAATACGCCGTGTTTTTTTTTAAAATACCCCGATGAAATAGCCAGTTCAGATGATAAATGACAAAATGTTACCTTAAGGGAAAACATCATGATCGCATTATCATAGCAAATGAATACATCTTATACATTCCCGTCTCCGTTGACTGACGTCCAACATAGGATCAGTATTATCAACCTTAGGCTTAAACATGTAGCTGTAGTGTGGGTATGTGCGTGCGTGTGTGCGTGTGTGCGTGTGTGATGATTTGTCATAGCACAGTGCATATATTGTACATCAAAGATCATTTTAGGCTAGGCAGGAGAGTGGAATAAATACTAGGGGGGTGGGTATTGCAGAGAATTTTCATATTGCGATATATTGCGATGCGGAAGCATATATTGCGATATGTATTGCAATATATTTCAAGGATTATTTTTTTAACAAAAACTACTTATAATCGAGTTAATGCGTGATTATAAGCAAAAACACAACAAAATCACTATGATTGATTACCGTTTATAAAAACATTTAATCATGACAAAATAAAAATGTAATTAACACTTGGCACTAATGAAACAGGGAAAAGGACAATTCAAAAAACGGAAATATCCGAAGATTTCCGAGTGTTACGAAGTTTTCCGAATGCATGTCAAAATACCGGTTTTCGATCAGCGTATCGCAATACGTATCGTTTTCATGTATGAACCGGTAAATACTGGTAAACCGGTTATATTGCGCAGCCGTAATAAATACCATGTGGATTACACATCATTCACAGACTTTGCAGATTTTGCAGTATCAGAAAAGAACAAAGTTCAGTTGTGATAAACTGTTTGTTTGGATGCCCTGGACCTCACGACCAAACAAAAAAACCCAACTAATTATTTTACTCATCAGCATGTGTTGCTACGTGTGCACGAGACAGCACATGTATAATGCTATCTCCTAAACACAGCAGCATTCAGCCTTAATTAGGGCAGCATTTTTTTTGTGTGTGTTTCTCATCGCCCGACCGACCCTTCTACTTTTAATGCCGACCCTCCTCCCCGAAAAAACAACAAAACAAAACAAAACAACACCCCCAAAAACCAACAACAAAAAACAACAAAAACAAAAAAACATAAAAACCGAACTATACACCCATTTTTTGTTCATTCCAACACCGCCGACTCGAACCTAAAACGTACCGCCTCGTCATATAAAAGTTTATCTATCTAAAATGTTTTAATCAGTCGCTGCCACAAGTCCGAAGAGCACGAGAAATTGTAATAAGAATGACAATATATGAGAATCAAGAACATTATACGGATAATTTTGTCTTTATTAAGTAATTTTTTATAGTTTTTTCCCCCGACCGACCGACACATGTTCCAAATTTGGTGGTTACGTGAAACACCTAAAATATGATGCTCATACAGGTGGTTCCGTTGACAGTGTGGTTGTGCCAACAGGTTTATTGCCAACATCATACTATTAATTGTGAACATAATTACAGATCAGAGGTAATGCTTTTTCCGACCAAAACCATTTATTTATCAAATCAGCAAGTAAGCGCAGCTTAAACAGATATCCCCACTTACATCTCAAGTGTTTTTTACAGAAATATAAATGAATGCCAATGATCGGTCAGCCCTTCAATAGAATTCGTCGTGTAATGGTTTCTTTTGCCGAAACAGTACCACTATGATGAAATTCCAATACGTGCTTAAATATTGTAAGTTAATAATGTTAAGTTTACATGCCCTCATGGAAATGTAACATGGTTCAGCTCTGCGCTACAAAGCGCACAGTGAGTCATTTGGATTAAATCCTTTTGACTTTTAGAGTTCCTATCTGAAAAACTTAAATGTTTTTAACACAGAGGAGCGAAAGTCATAACGTTACACGTCCAGCTCGTATGTTATTTTACAATTTAATTACCT